ATTTGGTAAAACGAATGTGGTAACATTTTTTTGGGTTTAATTTCATGTTGTTGAGTGCACACCAATGTTGAATACTATTCAAATCATTTTGGATTGATTGTTTATAAATGGCGGAAGAAAACTTTATATATAAATTATTGCCTTCAAAGTAAATCCGAATCTTTTTGATTTTTACCATAATTAGTTCTTAAATATATTTAAAATCCGTATATTGAATATGAATGTAACATGTTACTACAGTTTCATAAAATGCTGTAACATAATTGCTATATTAAGTTAGGCTCATATAATTATATAATGTATAAACACAATAAAAGAGATAAAAAGATTAGAAATATGTAAGTAAAAACGAGACAGCTATGTTTTCTCATTGCAGTGAAAGTGTAGAAAGTCGTTGGTTATTTTTTACTTTTTATGTTATTTTCTTTTGTAACCATTTTCAATCGATTCGTAATGATTTTTTTCATCATTCGAAAGTTATATAAACTATGATATTACATATCGAGACGTTGATCAGTTTACAATTTTATTAATCCATTAATTTTACTGTATATGTACCTACGTATATAAAAGAAAGTCGTGTTAATTACACTCTTTATAACGCAAGGACAGCTGAAGGGATATGGTTAAAAATATTGGCGGGAAGACAGCTCAGAACCAGGAGACGGACATAGGATATCTAATTCTGTTTGATCAGAAAAAAACTTAATAAATTACAATATCTATTTATTTATGGCTTCTTTTGCGTAATTGAGTTCTCCCGGTCAGCTATAGATAGATATATTATTAATGTTGAAAACAACGCGGACGACATCGCGGGCAAAAACTAGTTTTTAATAAAATTATACCTAATTCAATATTAACATTTCACTATGAGTGTTTATATTTAGGCATGTTATCCATAATTATCTATAACCATCGCAAATTTAAACCATATATTGTATTGTTTCAATATAAATAGGATAATTACGTCTGTACTCTCGCCTAAAACAATGTAAGCTATAATTATAAACTTCATTGTCAAGTCTTTTTAACATCATTGATAGCAATTGTTTTATCTTATCGTTGGGTATACCATTATCTTTCTAAATCTTCTTCATCTCTGAGTCTTAAGGAGTTTTTTTAAATACTCAGCAATACTAAAGAAAGACAAGACAAGAAATTAATCTGAAAATATCCATATTACTAAACTTCAAAACAGCGAACATCTGTTTCGAGGTCGTGTCTAGCTATTGTCCTCGAGTATTTTGTCAAAACCTTGAAACTTTATCAAAACCGAGATTGTGACATGCAATAATTTATGTATATTTGTACAAAAGTGATATAATTTGAAGGTTACAAGGACATAAACAACAACCTTCTGTGCCTAAAATATAATGAGACTATTAAAATATTTTGCAGGATAATTTTTTTTTAATCAGTGTTAGGACTAAAATTAGCAACAAAATGTGTTTGAGTTAAAACTTGTGGTCAACTTTCAGATCTTGTGATGATAGCCAAACATTTTGCGATTAAACATTATTTAAAGGCAAACAACAAAATGAACTAACTCGCATAAGCAATATTGTTTTCACAAGAAATGACTTATGCATAAATTTGACAAGAAAACTTTTTATAATGGAACACGTTCCTTTTATCAAAATAAAGCATCTATATACACTTTTTATGAAAATAGATAATTTGCTTTTGTGTGTCTCATGTGACATTAATAAAGAATTTTCATTAATTTATTCTATACACACTCCGCGAATATAGCATTAGATTTATTCTAATCACGAAATAGCCCATTGCATATTTTCTAAAGTTGATTACATAGGTGTCTCTCACGTAGAATATGACTAGCAATGCCGCTTAATTCTCCCAATTTTGTATATGATCAAGGTCGACAACGCATGTGCAACATTCCTTATGTTGTAGATGTTCACTGGCGACGGTCACTACCTTCTTACCACGTAGGCTGTCTGCTCTTGTCCGGCCTTTGAAATAAAAACATATAGGAGGGCTGGATAATTTTTAAATTGCAGGATATAAGACTGACTTAAATTAACCATTTTTAGATACAGACATAGGAAAAATACTAAGTACTAGATTTTGAGGCTTGTACATACTTATTGAGACTCCTCTTATCTAGTTATCAACTACAATATTTAATTAATTGTTAAAGAATTTCCGTCACTTTAAAATATATCTGATGTTTGTAGATAAGCGTTGAATAAGACCAAGCGCAATATGACAATTTAATCATAGTAAGAATTTTTTTTGGTGTTACATCTCTTAATATCTAATGCTTTCTTGAAGGACATCAACTCTCAATACGTGGTGTGGTAGACGAAGGTCCCCCTGTATATTTGTATAAAATCACAATAATTTAATGTACAAAGTAGTTTCGAATCTTGTGTTAATCGCGACTAGTCCAGTCATTATAGTAAGTTCACCTCGGAATTCGAGATACCCAGCTGTAAGTCTGTAAATAGTTGTATATTGACACCCTAAAAGTTGTCTCAAAACCTACATATGGTAGGGTGTAAGCAACTATTAAATTTCGAGGTCAAAGGTCACAAAAATCGCTTTTTTGCGATTTTTTTGGAAATATTTAATTTCTTATGGGTTTTTTGCTATTTGTATTTATTATCAATATTCTAGAATACTGAATTCTCTACAAATTTTGTTTTAAATTTTTTTTAATACGGTGTACCGTTTTCGAGATAGAGGGCGGAGAGCGCGCATCAACATTTCAACCGTGTATATTATCAAGTTCAAACTTGGTCAGGACATGATTTGGAACCCCAGGTATGGGGTTGGGCAATGCGAAATGATTTTCTGGAGCCTATCATGACAATTTTACCACCTGCTCCAAAAAATTTGCTAAATACAACTTTCTGCAACTGCAAAAGTGGTTGTGGTTCGCGATGCGGATGCAGGAAAGCGGGCTTGCAAGGCTCTTTAGCTTATGGCCAATGTAATGGGCAAGCTTGTCTCAATGCTCAACCATATCAGAGCGACATTAACGAAGATGGAACCTTTGATCCCGAAATCATGGAAGAACTTGAGACAAATGTCGTTGAAGACGATAATGAAGACCAGTTTGAAATTTACCAGCAGCCAGAAGACGACGATGAAGAGGAAGAAGATGTTTAAAATTATAAATTATAGTTTTTGTACCCTTTATTCCATTTTTTTACTTTCAATAAAAAATAATTTATTCAATGATATTTTTTAATAAAAAGATTAATTCATAATTTATTTGTTTTTTTTTTTCATCATGTAAGAAGTTTTTAATATTAATTAGGTTAAAATTCAAATATAATTCTTATATTTTCATTAACAATTCTGCAATTACATGGACAGGTAAGTGTTGTTAAATAAATTAATACTGAATAAAAAGTGGATAAGTTAGGAAAAAAATGATAAAATATAATATAATAGTTAATAAAAATTGACAAATATTTATAATCATTGATTTATTGATAGTTCATCAACTATATATGGAGCGTTTTCGACCGGAGGCACCGGTTGACCTGAAGTGATGCGGTGACCGCGCGCTCTCCGCCCTCTATCTCGAAAACGGTACACCGTATAAAAAAATTTTTGAAACAAAATTTGTAGAGAATTTAGTATTCTACAATATTGATAATAAATACAAATAGCAAAAAACCCATAGGAAATGAGATATTTCCAAAAAAAGCGCAAAAAACCGATTTTTGTGAATTTTGACCCTGAAATTTAATAGTTGCTTACACCCTACCATATGTAGGTTTTGAGACAACTTTTAGGGTGTCAATATACAACTATTTACAGACTTACAGCTGGGTATCTCGAATTCCGAGATTCTTACCTAATTTAAGCTTAAATGACTGGACTAGACGATTCATTTAATCCCTTTTACTTGCATTGATTTTTAAATTAAGACAGTAATAAAACGGTTACTTTTAATCAGTTTACAAAACAATTTTCGATAAATATAAACTTTCCATTACAAACGAGCCCTTCATTTCTAAGGTCTAAACATTTCTCACTCTCACCTGATTATAAGTAAAAAGATAAATACGTGGTGTAGCCGGTGGAAACGTAACGAAGAATTAACTGTACTAGATATGGCCAAGTCATATCACAAGTTTTACAAAGGACACAATTTACGAATATTTTATAAAAAATTGTGTATATATCAATTAATAACATACCTAATGATATCGATTAAAAATTTCTTACGAGTCTAATTTTAATTATTATCATTATTTTTTTAGTATTTGAATCATAACAACACCTTTATGAAAACTATAAAAACACGATATTATTATTTCTTACTTAAATGTCTGTAGTTTTCACAATAACAGTGTATTCTATTGTTATTTCAAGATTATGTTATAATAAAATCTATAAAAGGTAATCATATATATTATACGCTTTATTTAAAAACGAGTATGTACCACTAATAGAATTAATTTAAAAGTGCAAACGAAGACATAAATGTAAGATAGAGGGTTATTTTCTAGTAGCATTCTTTTTGTCACATCCAGAAACTTTACATCAAAATCTAGAATAAACTGTCGTTTTGGTTTTATTTTTATAACTTTTTATTCTTTGTATTTGAGTTAGAACCATTCTGCAACAATTTGATGAAATTAAACTATAATAAAGTACTTTATTTATTGACACATATTAGTGTATATTATGACTTACACACACACACACTCACACACATATTGTATACACAGACATATATTTTCTTTCTTTAAAATTGCAAGTGTAATTATAGGAAAGTTCAACAATGTATGGAGAAAACACTACTGACACTTAGTCTACAATGTACCTGTTGATGACATTTAATTATAACATGAATCAGACTGTAAAATCTACCTATCGTTGAATCGCGCTACAACATTTTTTTATACCATTTGTCGTTTCGCGCCGAGCACTTGTTCATTTTTTTGAAAGCTATCACTATAAAAGAGTTTCATAACTCACTTTTAAACTTAATTCTCGAACGTTGATCAAGCAAAATGTATCGGTTATTTGTAGCTATATCTTTAATATCTGTGGTGTTCGGTTCTTTTCTAGACGGGGACATTCAATTGACAGAAGGTGTGAAGTTAGTCGGTGTTCCAGTTCCAAATAGTTTAGATGAAGGACGATCGTTGGGTGATTCACCGTTTTACAGAATGGCCAAGTTTCTACAAGGTCACGAACTATATGTCAAGCTGCCAAGTTTGATCGAAAAAGATAAATTGACCAGAATCATGTCAGAATCTTTGAAAGCTATTGATGAATCATCCAAGAACAGAGCTGGTAAGTTCGGTAACAGGTCATTGACCTAGGTTTTAGTTTGTGCTTAACATTGCATTTAAGATATTTATTTGAGGTTATATAATAAAACATATTGTAACTATTAAATATAACATGATATGATATAGAAAAATGGCGTTAAAAATGGCGTTAAACCCAACCATTACCACACCAAACCAGTATTATGTTCTATATTGGAGTAAGATAATTAACAAAATTTATATTGAATTCAAAAACACATTTGCAAAGCGTTAGCTACAGCTCTTGAAACAAAATTACATTGTTACGCTTAACGTCAATGAGAACGTTATTTAAATAAAAGGCTATTATCTCACAAGTTGAACAAGTAGTCAGAAGTCATTTTACATCTTAAACGATGATGATTCTTCCAGAAACTTGTAATTTTTTCTTTCTCTTCTCATCTTTAGTCCTCTCTTTTATGATTTTTATTAAATTTCATTATATATCGTTTGCTAAATATATTTTGTTAATTTTCATTCAATCGCCAAATCTTTTTATGATGAAATAAACAGTGTAATAGAAACAATTAATTGGATTGCAAAATATATTTTATACGGAGGCTAAGAAAATTTTTGTCAGCTTAATCCTTAAAACTAACGATTTATCCCTAATTAATTTTGTTAAAATAAAATTACATACGCCATATATTTACTTATCAAGATGAATTCAACGCTGTCTCATTTAGCAATTAGAAAATACAATTAAAAACGTTATTAAAACTTCATAAGCCTATTTCAATACATTTAGATCTTAATTTATACTCTGTAAGGGTAAGTGACATAGAAAAAATACCAAATTTTCAAAACAAGATCTGTTTTAAAATTAATTAGCTATTTTTTAATACAATTTTTAATGGAAAAGCAAGAAAATTTTATCCAGAGGTTTTTAAGGACATAAGTTTTCTAAAGGCTGCCGTTAGTATGTTATTAAGAAATATTTACAAATATTTATATAAAAAAAAACAGGTACGAATGTATATTTAATAGCCAATTTAGAAAAATCTTGCTTCACCTAATTTTCATTACCAAGGTTAAAAAATCGTTTAATAATGGCTTAACATTTACTTTGTTTATTAATAACCTAAAAAATTACCTGAATCTATTATTAACCTAAAATTTCTTATTGTATTCATAAAACAATTTTACAAATATATTATGATATAAAACCCAATATATGAATTTATTATGATGAACTAATATAGTACATACCTCTTTAATGTCACTCAATCTAAATTCCATGTGTCCATAGTAACACCTTATTAACATAGTAGTATGTATGTAGATGTGAATTTACTATGCCAAATAACTAGTACCTCGTAATATAATAAAGTATATTTTCATTGTTTTTCATTATATTTTAGAATTCAGATACAAAACAAACATATTTATCTAAACAATCTTAATATTTAAATTTTATTTTTACATTTAAATTGGTTTTATAGTTTTTTTATATTTTTCAATTAAGTATGAGAGATTCAAACAAATTAATATATTTTATTAATTACAATCTATCTTCACTTTTCAATGCACAAAAATGTTATCCATTTATTTATTTGGAAACATACAGCTCATATTGCAATAAATAATTTGGTAAAATTAAAAACAATTTGACAGTTATGAACCAAATATTTCATGTCATGTCTTTCATAACTCGTTATAAGATCCTTGGTCCAGGGAACCCCATAAGCTTGAACACAATGAGACATTAAAAAGACTACATAGGAAATCCATTTGCTGAAAGGCGTCTAGTGTCTGCAATATCGCTGTTTCCATTACAAAGTTGGCAGATGCTTTGATTTTGTTTCAACCTCAATATAAAAGTCCATATTGGTTAATAGAACGTAGTGTCAGCTTTTATGTGTCAAATTCAGTTGAGCTACATCAAATATAGAAACACTCTTCTCGTGATCTGTTTTTTCGAAGTATAAAAATATTTATGATTCATTTAAGAGCTTATAATTGAAAATTTAAAACATTTGCCTTTGTTTTTGTTACTAAACACCGTCTCTATATGATTTTATTATTATTATTTTTAAACAGATAAGATATTAAGGAGATATATTCCGTACATTTTTTAATTTATAAACAACAATATTAACTACTAAACTAATATACTGATTTCCCCTTGGTAGTTTCTTTAGCCGTGGCAGCGTGTCTATAATTTTTTTTAAGATACATAATTATGGATAATATTTATATTCAAAATTAAACTGTCAATACATCATTTTAATTACACATAATGTTTTCCTTTTTTTTACTAACGCTGAAGTACATAAATATACTCGAAAGTTAATTGACTGTATCCAAAACATATAAAGAGGTTAAATAAATATTTTTCAAAACATAGGAAATATTTCCATATAAATATTGATATAATTATATTTTTTACCAGCTTTTTCCTCTATGTAAGTAATATAACATTCTCAAAATTATAGAATACAATTCATTTTAATACTACATGCTTGTCTATTTTAAAAAGTGCCGTCATCCTGAACTACGCCAGTACTGTTTATTAACTATCCACTGTTCAACAAACCTTAGTTTATTTATCAAATAAAATCCTGTATACAATAATGAGTCTTTTGAAATAAAAATTGTCTCTTTTAAATATTGCTTTCGTAAATTAACCTTTATTTGTTTGTGCCAAACTAATTATGACCTACTGAAAGAATGTTATTCTCTTATGTAACGGCTAAAATCAACAGTGACATAAATTTTTATGTTATTTAAGTGAAATATTATCAAAATCAGACCACAAAAGAAAATAACTCTCCAATTTCGCTTCAAACTAGCCGGTAGAAAAATAACATTGTAATCGGAATAGCATCAACGTAAATTTCAGTCAACTAAAATATAGTAGAGTGATTTTACATAATTCAGTTTGACCGGGACGAAAACAAAAGTTCTTACAAATGGAAAAGTTTATGAAACTTCTCAATTAACGTATTTGTTTGATGTGATTGATGTCGTTGTTTCACATACATAAAATTAGGAATGTTTTTGAGACTGTGATTATGTATATTTATGCTTTACAATTTAATTAATAATTAGTATGAGACTTCACTTCATGGTTTAAATATATGTATTGATTTTTTTTAGTAACTGGTCGAGGCAAAGGTGATGGAGGAGGTTCTTTGGCGCTACTTGGCATGATGTTCGCGAAGACCATGGGAGCAGCTGGAATAGGAGGTCTAGCGTTACTTACTATGAAGGTACTCATTATATAGAATAAAGTGATGTATAATATTTAGTACGACTTTGAAAATAGAACTTGAAACGAAGGTCGAAGGCAGTCCTAGTAGGTTCGTTTCGAATGTGTTAGCTAGAGAGAGGAGCTTGGACGGTTGAGATGAGCGTATAACGCGCGTCAGATAGGGCCCCCTTAAACCTACACCTGGATCGTAAGTCCCAGTCACTGTTGAAACTCCTCTCCATGCAACGATGGACCCGGCCCCCCCCCCATGAATCCATGGAGTGGCGAGAGGTTTCGACTCTCTTCACATATAAAGTACATATATTTTGTAAATATATCACTGGGTTTAAAATTCAGTTTTCATTTGATATGTTTTCTAAAGATAAATGGACCCTCTTAAATATAACTTCACCGTGATTCGAGTACAATTTAAAATAATATATTTTGAAATCATTACATAACATTAATTTTAATAAATTACAATTTGAGTTTGAGTTTACTGAAATTTTTAAAAACTCTATACTTATATAAATGTACGGATGTCAGTTGAATAGTTAGAAATAGCGGTTTCAATAGAGTTTTATTTAATTTCAATAATCAGGTAATTTGATGTATTAGTAACATTACAAATATTCCTTAATTTAGCTCTCAATCTGACATGCCAACATTCGAAAATACGACGGCGTTATTTTTTAAAACACCTATTATTACATGAGCCACAAAAAGTGAATGCCAACTTATGTTCATTAAGCCACAGAATTGCTTTCAACACCACAAATAAAAAATAACTGTCAACCGTCACTCGATGTTTCTAAAACAAAAAGCAGTATATAAGTCATTAATATGGAGCTATAACTTATAAATAAATAAAACATTCATAAAAATCAATAACGCTAGCATGTTTTATGTCAAATAGAAAGCCCCTAATTATTCAATTAATACAATGTAATCTAAATTCAATAATTAGATATCGGATTCGTAATTGGAAAGAGTGAATGCTTGTTGAAACCTCATTGCTCATTCTCCGTGACGGAATAACTGATGATAATTCAAACGATTTCAAATGTAAATTTTTGTTCAACTGTGTTTTATTTCCTGCGGGGAAACGTGGAGATGACATTTTCATTTTCTGATAGAATGAAAGAAAGAGACAGAGAGAAAGAGAGAGAGAGAAATAGAATTTATTTTATTTTAAGAACAAAATTGTTCAAACAATTTTGGATTTTGTACCTAAATTTGTAGATATTAAATTACTTTAATTATTTTTTTTTACGATTATAATACCAAGAGACAATATACATTTTGTGTCGAGAATTACTATCAAATTTAACGAAAATCTACTTTTTTATTATTATTTATTACTGCTGATGATATCTTTGGCATTGTAAATCACCGTCTGTCATCATTTTGACCGAGGTTCTGGTTGACGGTTCTCAATGACGAACATTGATTGGTATAGATCCTTGATTCATACAAATAATAATAAAACAAAGCAAATATACTATTTAATTATATGGTCCTAGTGAACAACTGATAGACGACTGCTAAACAACTGACAGTTATTTAAAACGTGCTCAATAAAAGTACATAAAAACATTTAAAACAGTTAGTCGTAAAGTCTCCATAAACTTTCAAAGTATTTGAGACAATTCCTAAGAAATTGAATTGATTTGTTATTTAAGAACTTTCTACGAAATATCAGATAAAATTCAACAAAGTACAATGAAGTCAAGAGTCAAGTTTTTACTGTGTTATTCCTTGGTGTTGAAAACTAAATAATTACAGACACAAAATCGCAGATATAGAAAAAAAGGAATTAGAATTTAAAAAAGGCAGTCAGCATTAAAAATATATATATAACTTTTATACCCTATTCAAAATTAGTCATTTATTTGGGAAAACAAGATGGATGCAAAAATAAGTAAACAAGTCAGGTGCTAGTTTAAAATGAAAACCATCGGTTCCGTACTGAATAGCAAGTGGCCCTTTGGAAGCATTTCTAATACCGTAATTGGATAATTATTTACACTATAAATAGCATAGATAAAAGCTAAATATGATTTTAAAATTTAATCCATGTTCAGGTAATGTATGAATTAATATTTAAATAAAAAATATTAATGAATTTTCTTCAAGACGAGTACGCTTACATTCTCATAATATTCAGACGTTAATAGTATTCATTCACAAATATTCGTATTATTTTTATAGTGATATCAATTATTGTTTGGAAAACGGGAAGCTTTTGGTATATAGTGTGAGATTAAACTTCTGTTAGATGTATTCCCGTTGTTTTACAAAATGTAAAAGACTAGTCACAGGTTTGAATCCTGCTGGGGATATGGAATTTTCGTTGCATTTTGTATATTAATGTTATCTCAATTTTTTTTTATTAATTCAAATTATTTATTTGTCTCTTTTATCAGTTCTTTTGAGTTTTAATAGAAATTGGATTCAATTAAGTGTATATAATAATGAAAATCAGTAATACATAAATATTACACATACACATATTGTCTACTTTTTCCATAAAATTATGACAATATCTTTATGAAAGACAACAAACATATTAGAAATTTCAAACAACAACAACATCAAGGAACACAAAGATAAAAATAGTTACTCAGTTTCTCATATAATTTCAAAAACAAGACAACAGCAAACACCAGAATACGTTTAGAAGCACTTAAACATTTCAAATTTAGTTTTTTTTGTATCATGAAATCGCTACCACTTCGGAACTTTTCCAGGAAAAGTTTAAGCAACGCTAAACTTCTTGAGCATGGCTCTTTTACAACTTCCATTAGTTCTATCGCTACCATAACTGGTTTACGAAGAATCTCTCCTCTCTTACTAAGGCAAACTTTCGGTTTGAGATGCAATCTTTACAAGGAAAAAGATAATTATCAACAACTTACCGGAAAACCACAAGAAACCGACTTTAAGAGGGTTAAGAGAAATCCAATTTCATAGAACTTTGATCAAGAAATATAATGTAATCTATATAATATATCGATAATATATAATAACATATTTTCATCATAAAAATTGCAATACAATTTGATAATAGGTATATTTATACAACGCCTTAGAGTTTTTAAATCAATTACCACAGTTAACAGCTACGCTATTTTAATTTTACAGGCGCTGGCTGCGTCCGCGCTCGCGCTTATGCTATCAGCAATTGTAGGAGTTAAGAAGCTCACATCACATGATGATCACGACGATCACCAAGTGATATACGCTGGTCATCACGGGCATCATCGACGGAGACGGGATCTCATCACACCGCTGCCGTACCAAGGCTGGAGGGATTACCGACATTAGAAGTCTAGAAATTAATTTATTCTGTAAATAAATATTTATTTATCTTATTTTTTATATTTCTAAGCCTGGATAATAATATTTATAAATGTTTTAAAAATAAAAACATTCTTTTTGTTCCCGTTCAATCCTTTTTTCTAGCTTAGTAAAGAGCCATAACTCTGTAGAAATTATATAATCACCTCTTCGTTTTCTGAAGACTTGATGAATATCTATTTATCATATAGGTAGATATACATTGAGATAATAAAAAAATAAGTAAAACCAAACACTTGAATACTATTCCTTTATATTACAAATACGTAACACAGTCTCTGCCTCCATGATTCTATTTTATACACTAAAATGCTGAACCGTTTTCGATTCAACACATTCTATGAAATCAATAATGACAATGTTTAGCATTACTAAAATCAACAACGAAGCAAATTCATGTCAACCCAAGATACAGAAAATATGGCATAATAAAGTTGTTTTAAATTTCGTCTCGTAATTGATTCGAAGAAATTAATATTTATATAACCTTTTCATAACAAAATCTCTTTAATATGAATTCAATATAAGTTGTTTTTAAATTAACCTTTCCCCATTCCTTTTTTTCCAGTTAAAGCAATTATTCCACGAAATTAATATAGCAGTAAATTATAATATGAATGCAAATCATCATAAAAAAACTAACCTTAGAGTAAAATAAATAGCCATGTTTTAAAATAATATTATCTGTCTAGTAAAGAGGTTATTTTTTTCGGAAAATTGAACTTATGTGTTATTACATTACGAACACTAATGAAAATATCCATTTAAAGAAAAAAGTGTGCATCCCTAGTTTTGACCATCGGCATTTTGTGTGATAATGAGCGGTGCCTTGTCGGCATCATCGAAGGTCGGGAGAATCCGACCGACTTAGGTCAGTAGACCTCTCATAGAAATTTTGCAACTATTCGGAAGTCAAGATACACGCGTGACGAGTATAATATTTTACACTGTTTGATTGCCGCCACAGAGTACAAGTGTTCCAAAGAATGAAATAAGTTTCCGGGTGCTTAAAATGGACACGAATATTGTTACGAATATTATGCTCATCTGTTCTGTGTGGTTTTAAAACACAAAATCACCCACTCAATAAATATTGTAGACACTTTTAATACACTTCAAAACATGTAATTTTCTATAATAGTAATCAAATAATAACAAAAGCGTGCTATAAGATCTATGTGCTGTTAAGGAGCCCAAATGTAATATATGAGAAATTGTTTAAATTATAAAATTGATATATTGACTATTGCATCACAATATATTTTTTCAAATATTCATTGACATGTAAAATACAGTCAAGTTCTTTAAAGTATAGTCAAGTTAATGTTATTAATTTGTTTTCTATACGGTTAAGTGTTAACCCATGTTTTAGTATATTAAAGAGTAGGTTCCGGCGTCGGGACGTGACGACCCCATCGCCCACTGGTGTATTCCGGTGCAATCAGTCACGGGGGGGAGGGCTGGGGGTACAGCCCTGGGAGTAAGACGGTCACGGATCAGGCAGGAGGCCGTCCGTGGCTGTCTTGGGGGGGAGGGGATACTCGGGTCTCTCCGGAGGCCTGAGTTCGCTTGTGGTCGGTCGGTTTCCTCTCTGTCTGCCGTCGGGCGCTTGCGCTCGTCGGTGGGTGGTTGGAGACTGGCCGCGTGGGCTTGGGTCGGAGGGGTAAGGGGTTAACCCTCTCGCGATTAAGCAAGCCCGCCAGGCGGGGGGACACTCCTGGTCACTTGGAGTGAGCCTCCGGGGGGGGGAGGTGGCCGTTCGCGGCCCGCCGCCGGATCGTCGCGGATGCATGCTTCGGCGTTTCCCGTGGCGATCCACTTGGCGGCAACGGAGAGTGACCGCTGGTGTTTTAGTGGGTAACATGGGCCCTTCTGGCCGTGAATCCCACATAACCGCCTCTGTCTCCCCTAGACGGAGGGGTAGGTATAAAACCTTTCACCGCGATAACAAAAAAAAAAAAAAAAAAAAAAATTAAAGAGTAGGTATTAAATGTAAACGTTTATTAAAAAACCCGCCTGACTCCCGCGGAACGCAGTTCATACGAGTAGCTCAGTTGGTTAGTTAGGGAATCGGCACTGATCGCTTAGGTCGTGGGTTCAAACCCCAGCCGGTGTCAGTTAATTTTTTTAATTTTTCTTGAAATGTTTAGACATTATTTATGTGGTTGGTTTTTATGTTAATTCAAGCTAAAAGTATGCCTAATTTGTTAGTTATTCTAATATCTTAATCAATGTTTAATAAATAGCGACAGGGTAATATGTAATTGCAAGACTTGCGAGACTTGTTGCAAGAACAAGACCAAGACTGGCCAAGTCTCATCTTGTTCTTGCCTTTGGACAACACTACCTACACCAGTAAAATTTTGTAGCATGTATAAATTACTTAGGTACTGACAATATTTTGACATTCTGAACAAACAGGTTTTATTTGTTTAATAGAAATTTTATTCTTTCATGGCATGTCCTCAGACAGATTATTTTTAATCCGACTGAATACACAGAACCTGTAAATAAATGAAAATATTAAATATTTTTCCAGCAAAAAACATGACAAAAGGATGTTAATATACTGAAAAACAAAGGGATTTAATAAAAAAAAACTGTCGGAATGAATAAACAATTCCGCCTAAATAATAACAAAGGACTGTCGCTCTGTGATTCTTAAAAAACACTCTGTGTTTTGTTTTATATATAGAATTAAATAATATACTTCTACTTCACAATCAATATCTTCAAAGTTTAGGAATCATAATTACCTATGACCAGGCAAGTATGTGCAAAGAAAAAATCCAATAAAAATGAAATTAGTTGCAGATAAATTTTCTCTTTTTAAAATACATTTTTAGTGTCTCAAATAAGTGCCATCTGTGAATGACTACCGGAAACACAAAGATAGCGATTTCAAATACTTTAATGAGGTACCTCTATGTGAATAAATCACAAAATGTTTTCTACAGATGGCGCTGTTTTCAATTCAAATATTTATTATTATTTAAGTATTTATGAATATTTGTAAAAACGAATAAAAAATATGTCTAGATTTTTAAAAATAGGTTTATCAAAATCGTTTACATTCAAATTACATAAGGAATAGATTTAAAACCTCTTTAGATTGCTCTTGTTTTAAATTTTAATTACAGAAAATTATTTAAAGCAGCCGAAAAGGGAGATCATCTGTTTCTAGGGTACAGAATTTATTGTTCAGTCTTCGAAGTTCCTCATACATATAAAGGAAAATATAGATTTGGAGTTCTATTCTTATAACATACTTATTATTATCACGATGAATAGTTAATTATTTTATAGAATTGTACTAAAAAATCTACTCAAAATATAAAAATTATTAAATTGACGATCAAAAATTGTTACTTTAATAAGAGTTAATTTCAAAAACTAAACTTTAAAAGACGTTTTCTATTAAACGATTTCATTCATTTTCACCATAAAAAATGCATTTGCATTGTAGACGTTGTAAAGACACGAATAAAATAAAAACTAAAGAATACTTCTCTAGAGTTTCCAACAAGACCAATTGCAAGGAAAGTATGGTTTGAAAAAAAAATGCTCAATTCATAAAAAAATATTCTTCATATTCTTTACGTATTTATGATTAATATAACAATTTATTATTGATTTTTAAAACCATAATAAAACAATTATTTTTGAAAGATTTCAACGTTTATTGACACTTAAATTCTGATGCCCCCTTTCTTTAGATATACGAATTTTTTTGCATTAATTTTAAAAGAATTTTCTCAATAATATTTTTAATATTATTAAGATTATTTCTTTTGATGTCGGTATTAAATCCGGTTAGAAACTGAGCACGTACCATAATCTGAGGATATTCGAGTCTATACCTTGTAAGTGTTCCTACTTTTTCTTATAATTTTTTTATACAGCTTTTCTTTAACTTGCCGATAGATAGCTTAGAAGTATATTTCTAAATATAGTCTTAAGCTACCAAGATATAAAGCAAAATAATTGCTATTATTTTACTTTTAATACACTTAGTTTTGATTGTAGTTGAATAATTTTGTTAAGTTCTTTTATCCTAATAATATTATAATTGCGAAAGTTTGTGAGTGTGTGTGTATGTTTGTTACTTCTTCACGCTCAAACGGCTGGCCGATTTTGATAAAATTTTGTATACAGGAAGCTGACGTCCAGGAATAACATAGGCTACTTTACATCCCGGAAATCGCGGAAATCCCGGAAATCCGCGGGTAACACCGCTGGGCGCAGCTAGTAGAACAGTATATGTAGTAGGTTAAGAATATATTGATACAGCTATATATTTGGTTTATTTAAAGATGCAATAAATTTGTCTAATTTTAATAGACGCCAAGCTTTTTGAGAGTCCATTTAAATCCTTAGAAAGTGGGATTTGCTTAAAACTAGTGAGCATCAGACGTCAAATATATCAAAAACATGAGATCCACATTTAAACGAAACTAATATTTTGCGGATGTATTACGCGAATTTATAAATAAATAAAGTAATAAAATCGCGTAGTACATCCGAAAACTATTAGTTTAATTTAAATGAATAAGACTTGCCAAAATCTTAGATCTCATAATGATCCACAGCCGTTTTTGAATTTAATTTCTGGAATCAGACTTATGATATTCATAACTAATTTAAAATATTCAATGTTTTCTTTTCTGAGAACATACCGTATTAATTCTTATAACTAAATTCCAATAGTTTTCTAATAAAATTGCTACGTCTTCCATATTTTTTACGTAACTATTTAAATGTTTTTTTAATATAATTTAAGTCGTAAATAATGGTTATAGCTTAAATATTGGGTAAAAATCGAGTATAAAAAATGTTGCTAACCTATATGTTTTTTTTAACTTACCTCCTAGACGAATCTATTTGATTGAAATTCAACAGCAAGCACAAAGCCTTCTTAAAACATGCAATTACAGAAATATTTGTGTACTAACTAACTAAAGCACTAA